ATTTGAGTCTGTGCATTTGCAGTACGGGAAATTCCATCCAAGGTACCTGACAGCTTTTCACAGGCCCGGACTGCTGTCAGGATCGTTTTCATTTTCCGATAAACCAGGACTCCTCCACAGCCGATCAGCAGGAATCCGATTATCATAAATCCGAATATAAACACATCTTCGACATCTTCAATGGAAAGCGGGGCCAGGCAGATCAGGTTCCACCCCCAGCTACCCGTCACAAGCTCGGCAGCCACGGTTCCACTGGGACAGCTGCTCTCTCCTCGCTCCAATCTCAGAGTGGAAAAAATAGTGTCAATTGCATTCAGAGACCAGTTGACCAGATTCATAATTCTTTTGTCGTTGAATGATAGGTAGAAGAAAGGCTTGATCCGGCAGCAAAGCAGGGAAAAAAGGGAGGTTCGGGAGAGAGATCAAAAAGCGTCCGACTCCTCTGAAGGCCAAGCAGAAAAAAAAGTGTGATATGTTTCATTTTTAAAAATTTCTGACAAACAAGCAGGAAGTGCTACGTTTAKATTTATTTCCTTTTATAGTGAACTCTCAACATGTTACTCAAATAGGCATCTGTGTAGATGGAAGGAGCTATCAGTGGGGTGGAAAAACAGGATCACAGAAACTTTTGATGTGTCTAAATCAGGCACTTTGTACATTCTTGAAAAGAAACAACATGTTGGTGTACTCGGTATGCTCAGAAAACAAAAGAAAACTCAAGGAGATAATTGCAGTTTGTTTTCTTTGAAGAAAACAACATTCAGATGAGTCAAAAACACTCTACAGCAAGTGCATCATTATCATTATTTAGGTCTGCATTCAAAGAGACACCATCATTACTGTAAATACAGACACAATCGAAATCTCGGCTAACTTTAGACTTGGCTGGGTTTTAAAAAAATAAATGTGTTGCAGGRGTTTTTGCCAAGACAAAACTGACACTGTAAAGACTAGACCTAAAAATGTTTGGTGATGGTTTTTGATAGTTAGCAGTTAAATAATCCAACTGAATGTTTCTGCTCAGATTCAGTCCAAGCAGATAGTATTGATTCACCAGAAACCCAGTGAAACCAATCAGTCTGTGACATATTAGTGAAAGGAAATCTAGGRATGTTAAATGACCAAGTCAGTCCCCCTGTCATAAACCTAACAGTTTTTCTGTTATTGACRAAATGGTTGGCAGGAATCATCCGAACTAGAAGCAACTTTACACAACTATACAAAGGCCTGAAGAGGCAGTTTTACACAAGGAAGCTCTGAATTTGATGACATGGGCACCAGACTTTACAGTCTAAAAAGGAATATAATCTGAGTATTAAACTTAATCCGTCAATTTGTAATTCTGTAAGCTCTTTCAATTACTATTAAGCCTTAGAGACAATGGAAAAAGGATAGCAGTTCCTTAAACATGCATCAGTTCRACATTTATGATTAGGTATATTAAATTCAACCTGAACATCTACACTTTTATCTTTATTATTTCATTTTAAAGTGCCTATATAATTTTTTGTAAATAAAAAAGAATTTGAGAGCATT